TGGGTTTGTCTTGTGAACGGTGGATGCTCGTGTATCTAACGTTAAGAATTTCGCCCTTAACAGAACCGTGTTGGGGCATCGTATGGTTGTCTTTTTCGCACCTTCCAATGAATGTATGGAGGATGGGAATGAACAGGCACGAAACCCGCCTTGATTGAGATATTGCCAGGATGAATTGATGGCAGGAACAATGTTGTTGGGATTCGGAAATGTAAGAGTGCTTTGATCTGTGATTATCGAGGAGTGATTGCAAGCACCTCCGCCCGGAGTGTATGACTCCTGCGATTTAATCCTGCAAGAATATGAGAGAGCCGTGTGCGACCTGAGCACGAAACAGCGGCCGCGTCTCGCCTCACACGAGCTTTCCTTTCCCTCTTCCCGACCTGTCTGTTCCCCTCTTGACTGAAGTCTGGAATCTGCCTTTCTGATTAGATCGATAGGATTGCATGCGTACAATGAATGATTAGAGTATTCCTGATTCCTTGCCATGTGGACTAACGGGCCCAACCCGACTAGGCGCCAACCTCCCGTATCCCCTCTCTGCCCCTTCCCGTATAACGAGGACAGGACGCGAATCTGTGAGTGGGACATACGAGAAGCCGTCGCAAAGATCGGTGGGCAATATTACTTCCCTCCCGAAAATCGGTGTTCTGGGTTTGTCAGCGCTGGGTTTGTCATCATCGATACGCATTTTCCACCGTACTCGTTGCTATTACCATTCAACGAGTTGATCGTCATCCCGTGGTCGGCAGTAGCGCCCCATTGGCCCAACACCTTGTGTAGTGACTGCCAACGACTCGATCACTACCAATCGAAGGGGTTCCACTACTTAACATGGAATGAGGATGAGCACAAGGAAAGGGCCGCGCGACTAAGGCCGTCCACGTCGGATTCAGAGTTCTGTAGCGTACGGCGTCGGGAGCTAGTGCGAAAGCGGGGCACTAAACACGTGCCCACTCCGTTTCACTCCAAACGCAGGGCCGTGGCACGGTGGGAAGTCCGACAGTGCTTCCTGGATTGAAAATAAACTTCCCCCACGTCACGAATCCCGCGCGCGCCTACTCCAAACCCACGCCGAAACCAGCCAGATCTCTCACCTCATCAGACCAACACGGGATTTCAGTTTCGTCTGTGTCCCCACACTCAATTTTCCAAAAATCCTTGGCACACCCCATCTTGCAGTTTTTCGGGGGCCCCTTTCTGCACCAATAGCACTCCGAACGAAAGACAGCGCAGGGCGTGAGATTGCGCGTCACACGAATACGAATATGTGCTCCCCCCAGGTACAGGGGCCGTGGTGGGGACCATAGAACACGACTGAACGTGAATGGCGACAACACAAGAAAACTGGTGTCTATCGACTCCGACGACCGACTTGAATGGACCATACGGAGGGATGCTGATGGAGATGCACAATTGGGGTTTCAACAACGGTCGGAGCCAGACAGGCTGATTGGAAGAAGGGTGACTGAAGGGAAGGTCACATGCTGGCCTACGATTACACCCCCATGCAATAATGCTGAGAAGAAGGCCCTCACTCAGCTCACTGTGCTTCACAGGCGTGGCTGTTCTGCCCATAAAGCAAGGGCAGTGCAGAGAACCACAGAACACCGGGAAGGCGGATGAAGACAATCAGTGGAAAATAAATGGACAATCAATGGCAATAAGCACCTGCTATTGCTGTGAATAGATCATTCTAGTATACGATACGTAAAACAACAAGTGACAGCAGTCAACAACAGTGTTATATAGGACTGGAAGCAGGTGACTGTGGGGCTGGATTTTTCAGTAAGAGGGGATTGATCTCAAATTCAGGGGTTATACAGACTTAGCCGCATCAGATAAGCAGTACAGTGGACGATAAAGGCAACCATGCAACCCATTTTGTATGAACAAAGGGACACCGCGCCCAGTTCCCGGCAGGTGCTGCTCCCCACCAATAGATGGAGCCACCCCGAGATGGCTAGTGGTGCCTGCTCTTACCAGCACCCCTAGCATTACCTCGGGTTGTTTTGTTTAAAAAAGAAAAAAAAAAAAAAAAAAAAAGATTTTGAGTACACTTTTTGTGTCATTTCCTACAAGGCCCTATCACGGAATCTGTTATTCTTGTGATATTTGCGACCAGTGTGAGTATGAACCTATGGCGCACGCACACCTCATCTATGGCCCGACCTCAATGAATCTGACCATAGTAGTTACGTCCGGAACTAAGCAAAAAGGTCCTTGTGTGAGTATGCCCTTAGGTATACCCTTAGGGCATACTCACACTGGGACCTATAATCCCAAATTCCTCCCAAAAAGAGGTACAGGACCGGTCACACAGATTTGCCAAAGTTCTAAATGTACCGTTCGTGTGCCCATTTGTCAGCGGCCTGTGTAGCCACTGGGCAAGGGAATGTGCGGTCTCCTCTGGAAGTGACTGCAAATGCCCTATTTATTTTTTAGCATTGTCTTCGAGAATTGGTGAAAATTCGTTCACGAAAGTTCTTGCACAATTTGTGGAAGGCGCCCTGTGACCAGAGAAATACCAAATCGCCATTGCTCCAGACGGCCAGGGCCTTGTCCCATCTTTAAAGGTACAGCAGTGCGACCCCTACCATGCCCAAAACCTCAAATAGGCCCTTCCCAAATTCACATATTTTGCGGATTTGCAGATTTGGGGCCGCAGTGTGAGTACGCCCATCTGCTAAAGGTTGTAATAACCCAAACAATCCTATTGCATTTCTACGCTGCATAGAAGCCATTACTTCACATTCAGCTAGTACTAAAAAAGCAACTCCTAGTAAAAGTGGTATTATTATTCCGAGTATTTTGGCTAAAATGCCAATTATATACAATTTCATTTTGTGGTCAGTCATTGGCTTTGCCCGAGGGGACACTGTATATGATGTTTTGTTGGAAGTGTCGTTTGACAGTGCCAATTTTTCGGGTCAAGAGCAGACCCCTCGACTACCTGAAATTTTTTTTCCCTTTTGGAGTTTGGGGCCTGGACCCATTAGCGAAGTATTCTACCACTTCGTTCAGGATTTCGATCACGTGTGGCCTCGAGTGACACAGTACGGCCGTCGAATAGGATCTCTACGGCCTGGTAGTTTCCGAGCGGGGACTGTAAAGATGCCCACCTCCCACCTCCCTTCCAATGAGATGCATCCAAAAAAAAAAAGAAAAACAAAGTTGGACTCACTTGGACATGATAGCTCGTGGCTTTGCGTGGGGGGAAAGTCTGGATTTTATGGGCTCTAAAGGGGGGGGGTTGATTTCCAGACTTCCATTTTTTTTTTTTTTTGGCGCTGAGAAATAGAACTTGAAATGTGAAATTCAGATATCGTGGTGGATCTGACAGGAACCCTTCCGCGTCTGTCGGATGGCATTTTAGAGGCATCATGTGATACATGGAGATGAATGTATCCCTATAGCCATTACTTGTTCATCCTCGTGGCTGTGTTCGTGGACACATTTGATTGCCACGGTACATCACTATGGAGACTTACGTGAAGGAGATAGTACCAACCCATGAATTCGGGTGCACAGCTGTTCTTCATACTTTTATGTGCTATTTCAATTCATTTTACATCAGAAAAAGATCCATTCATGCAAATAAAAAATCACTTCGTATTTTCCAGAAAACCATAAAATTGCGTCACACATCACACATCGTAGAATACCAAAAAAAAAAAAAAGAAGAATATGGGCGAATCAGACCCCGTGAAAAGAATTCTTCGGGCCTCGCCACACCAATCCCGAAAACACCGATTTGGAGAGGAGAAGCATCGCCATACCAACTCTCCAAAATCGGTGTCAGAAAAAAATTGGAGAGCGGCCAGAATGCGGGTTTCAGGAGTGCAGTGGTCCGAGGCTCCTCCAATTTCGCCCCCAAATTGGAGAGTGCGCCTCGACCGACAAATGTCTGCTGCCACCGTTTTGTCTGGGTTCGCCACACCACTCTCGAAATGTGAAAAAGACAAAAAATGTGGCGGGTGCATCTGGCCATGTTCTAGCGGGAAGTTCATTCTCATTTTGCACATTTCGAGAGTGGTGTGGTGAGCCCGTCGTCTGCGCTCTCCAGAAAATGTCGGGCCTCGTCTGACGAATTGGAGACTGCCGCCCTGGAGAGAGCAGTGTGGCGGCAAGCCCTCTCGAACGGAAAATTCACATCCTCCTCCAGAAAATGTCTGACGAATTGGAGACTGCCGCCTTGGAGAGAGCAGTGTGGCGGCGAGCCCTCTCGAACCGAAAATTCACATCCTCCTCGTTGGAGAGTGCTCCCGAACTTTTTGCGTTTTCGGGATAGGTGTGGCGAGGCCCTTCTTCTCATTTTTGATGGCCTTGTTCAAAAATGAAAACACAGAAAGGAAAACTAAGATAAATCCCCAACGGTCCTGCATCAAAATTCTTGCTGCCGTGCGATCTGCCATCACCAACGGTCCTGCATCTTGCACGCTTCTACCTTACCCGCCTGCCAGTGGAGCGTCAAGGTCAGTGCTGGCTCACGCCTACCTCTCAGTGCCCGGCCGAAAAAGAGACCACTCACCAGACCCCTCTGGTGAGTGGGACTGGCTCTCGCGCACGGACATCTGAGCCTACCTCTGAGACTGCGCTGTCTCGGCGTGCATTCCAAGCTGGCTGTAGTCGTGTGAGGAGTCCCTTACCACGGTCGTCGGAGGTCGGAGGCAGTAGTGCTGGTTGAAGGCACAGGACCTCGCTCTTTTGCACAGAGTTCGAAACGCGTATAGACAGCGGAGCTGTCCAGATACGTTTGAGAATTTTGATCCGTTGGAGCGTATATGGTTCAGGATGAAGTCCACATACGTATAGAAAGTTGAGGAGTGGATTGAAGCCCACAACTTCGTGTTGAACTCTGCGTGAGACCTGAGAGTGTATAAAAGTGAACAGCCCCCTCTCTACTAGGGCATAGATTGAATTGCGCTTCGTCATTTCATTGATTGCGCACTGATATATCCCTCTGCGGAAGTAAAGCGACGAGCGACCTAGAAGGGGAGTCGAGAGCGGAGGCCGGCGGAAGACCGAGTTTCAGCGACCAGCCTACCGTAGCGCGCAGGAGGGCGTCCAAGTTCAGGTCCGGAGCGATGGCACGATTGACGTTTCCGATGGCAGCGCTGGCTGCTGTGCTTCTGATCGCTGCTGCATCCTCCACCAGCGCGTTTTGCCCGCCCAAGGTGACCATAGACTCCGTCACATACGGCGGCACCGGCTGCAACTGGCAAAACACGAATTACGTGTTTTCGCCGGACTACTCCACCGTCACGTTCATTTTCGGCGGCATGGTTGCCACAACCGACGGAGGGCTTGCCAACACGAGGAAGTTCTGCCAGCTCTCCTTCGCGCTGAAGTATCCTAAGGGCTGGATTTTCACGCTGGGGAAGGCGACCGGCCGCGGGTTTGCAGCCATCGGCAAACACTCGTTGGGCGTCTACGAGTCGAGCTACTACTTCTCCGGACAAACGGGCACGTGCACCATCAGCCGCAAATTCTACGGTCCGCAAAGCAAGAGCTTCGAGGCCACAGACAATTTCCTGACGATGGTGTGGAGCCAGTGCAACGGCGTTCCCAACCTGAACATCAAGACGGTGGTGAGGGTGCAAGGCGGCAAGGCCGCAATGTTCCTCGATTCCCACGACACCAAGTTCCGTCTGGCCTTCGGCATCMTCTGGAAGAAGTGCTAAGCAGCGAACCACATCATCTGTCACTGACAGGGTGACGTCCTCCTGCAGCAGGGCGAGAGGAGAGGACATTCGTCTTCAAAGCATCGTCTGCTGTG